GTGATAGGTGTAAAGTGTTTGAAAATATGGAAGGAAAAATGACGATTGATAGTAGTGGTATTAAGAACACCTGAAAGATTTACATGAAAGGACTTTTGAATGAAGAAAATGAATGGAATAATAATATTAGTTGTGCAAAGGTAGAAGGTCCAGGGTGTAAATTTGGCAAGGACGAGATAAAGAGAGCAGTGAAAAAGATGAAGAAAGGGAAGGCATCGGGTTTAACGATTGTGGTATCAGAGATGTTTAAAGGTTCTGATGATTTAGGGATTGAATGGTTAATGAATTTAGCAAATCAGATTGTCACAGAAGGTACTATTCCCGAGGACTGGCGAAGAAGTATAATTATCCCAGTATACAAGGGGAAAGGTGATCCTTTAGATTGCGGGTCTTACAGAGCTATTAAACTCTTGGAACATGCAATGAAAGTATTTGAGAGAGTGTTAGAGAAGCGGTTAAGGGAACAAATTAAAATTGATGAAATGCAGTTTGGTTTTACATCGGAAAAAGGCACGACAGATGCAATTTTTGTGGTGAGACAAATTCAGGAGAAGTATCTTGCGAAGGAAAAGAAACTCTATTATGCGTTTGTTGATTTGGAGAAAGCATTTGATGGTGCCGCGTGAGATTACAAGATGGGCCTTGAGAAAATCCGGTGTGGAGGAATGGTTGGTTACCGCAGTGATGGCAATGTATGTTGGAGCACAAACAGCAGTACAGACGGATTATGGTGATAGTGACAGCTTTGAGGTGAAGGTAGGACTTCATCAAGGATCCGTGCTGAGTCCATTATTATTTATCTTAGTAATGGATGTGGTGGCTAGAGAAATGCGCGAAGGACTTCCCTGGGAGATATTATATGCAGATGACCTTGTATTAATGGCAAACAGTGAGGGAGAATTGAGGGATAAAGTTAGTAAATGGAAGATGACTATGGAAGCAAAGGGCCTGAAAATGAATGCATCAAAAACAAAGGTGATGATTGGTGGGGAAAATCTAAAGATGGAAGAATCCGGTAAGTGGCCTTGTGGTGTATGTGGGAAAGGAATTGCTAGAAATTCTATCCAATGCACCAGATGCCAGAAATGGGTACATAAAAGATGTAGCGGGAAGTTAGAAAGAATGACCTTTATTTGTAGAACATGCATGAAGGGGATACGTAATAATGATAACCTAAAAAATGGTGGTCTGGATATTAGCAATGGGTTAACCCTAGAAAAAGTGGATAAGTTTTGTTTTAGGTGATATGCTAAACGCAGATGGTGGTGTAGATTCTGCCGTTGTTGCAAGGATCAGACAAGCTTGGAAGAAGTTCAGAGAGATGTCGTCTATTCTTACAAATAAAAAAGTTTCTCTGAAGTTAAAGGGGAAAGTTTACGTAAGCTGTGTGAGGAGTTGTTTAGTTTATGGCGGTGAAACATAGGCAATGAAAGCAACTCACGAAGCCAAATTAGAAAGAACAGAGATGAGGATGGTTAGATGGATGTGTGGGGTATCTCTGAGAGAGAGAAAAACTAGCAAGGAATTGCGAGCAAGATTAGGTATAGAAATGATGGGTATGGTAATGCGACGAAATAGACTAAGATGGTTTGGGCATGTGGAACGTATGACAAGAGATGACTGGGTAAAGAGATGCACAATGATGGAAGTAGGAGGATCAAGACCTAGAGGAACCAAGATGACGTGGACAAATGTGATAGCGGCGGATATGAGAAGCATGAATCTTACAAGTATTGATACTCAGGACCGTCAAAAATGGAAAAGAAAAATCAGAGGGATGGCCTACCCGGGTAAACGTGGAAATCGCCATAAAACGGAGAAGAAGAAGTATATTGGAAAATTTAAAAAAAAACTAAAAAAGAAAAAAAATCACAAAAACGAAAATATAGAGAAGTAATATAAAATTAAATATACACATAAATTTACTAAAATATCATATGAATCGTATAGTAAGGCAACTTAATTATTAGCCCAGATAAAAATAATTAAAAGACCGTTCAAGTCTAAGGTCAAATTACTTTGAATTCTGTCTAAGAGCAAAAACCCAAAAGAACTCGTAGAGAGAGCAAATATATAAATTATTTCAAGATAATTGTCGAGTGTATCTGTAATTCTGTTTAGAATGGCCCGACAAGAACAGGCTAATGAAATTTTAAAAATAATTTAATTTGGCCCAATTTTTTTTTGAAAAATACGTTTAATTAAATAATAAGATATGGAATAAAAAAATAGCTATAAAAATTTAAAAACACAAAAAATCTAAAAATATTTAAATTAATAAAAAGTTTCAAATAACAATAACATACTCAAAAGTGATCACTATATGTATATAATATTATATAGGAAATTACTTTGCATAGGTAGCGAGTTTAAGAAACAGCTATGTAATTTTTATAACTAAAAATGTAACCTGATCAAAGCATCACTTTGATTAGGTACTGGGTCTAAAGAACAGCTATGTAGTTTTTGTCGCCAAAAAAATAGCCTGCTCAAAGTAGTCACTTCGCATAGGTAGTTTAAATCTAAAGAACACAGCCTAGTAATTTTTATCGGCAAAAGATAGTGATATCATTTTAAATTGGACACTAACAAAATGATAAAGTAAATTAACAAAAATAGAGAATACTTAAAAAGAAACAAGACTCAACTTATAACTTACTATAAATTAATCAGAAAAGACTCTAAATTAATAAGAACTCAGAGAAATAATCTTTATTAAAATTTTAACACTAATATTTATACAGCTTTGAAAAATCGTTTTATTTTTTTTAATTTTATATCAAAAAATTATCGAAATTTTTATCATCAAAAAAAATAATTCATTAATTTTATCACAAAAAAATTATTTTTAAAATCTTCATTCTATAAAAAAAAATGATACAGTGAAACGATACACATGTTTAAATATACTATAAAAGGGGGTAAACAAAATAAGATTTTATTTTTAATAGAATAAAGATTGAAATTAAATATGGACAAGCAATTAATTAAGAAGATTAATATAGTTGATTAATCATTATAAAAAAAATGTGTTAAAATTTAATTCAAAATAAAAAATTAAAATACTTACATATTAATTATTTTTAATTTTTCTTAAATAATAAAAAAAAATGTTTAATATAGAATCTTTATTATCCAATAGTAATACTAATTTTTCCAATTTAAATGAAAACTCCCAATCTTCGTCGAGAATTCAAAGACCAAAAAGAATACACAAATATTGGAATAAAGAAAAATTAGATATAGTTACCAAAATGTTATCAATGCCGGAAAAATAACAAATGAAAATAAAAGACATCGCAAAATATGTCGAAATGTCTACTGCATCTGTTCACAAATTTAGATGGGATACATTCCCAGAAATAAATGGAGATCCTTTAAAGGAATATAATATTCAAAAAAGAGGAAGTAAAAAGAAAGATTCTTCCATTATTGAAAGAAGTATCATAAGCCTATTAATGGATAATAACACTATGACTATTCAGGAGATAATAGAAAAGTTACCTCCTGGTAGTCCAAAAACAAAAACCACAATTAGTAAATATATTAAAAATATTGGTTGGTCTAAAAAAAGGGCTGGCAAGGAGCCTGATAGAAGAAATACTCCCGGGGCTATTAATATTCGTCAAATTTATTGTGCAAAGATCTTAAATATCCCAAGAGAAAATTTATATTTCTTAGATGAGACTGGAATAAACTTGCATGTTGTACCAATCTACGCCTGGGCGCCATACAATGTCCGTCCAATAATAAAAATCCCATCCTCTAAGGGTAAAAATGTAAGTATCCTTTGTACAATCGGAATTGGAGGGGTAATTCATTATAAAATAATAGACGGAGCTTATAATGGGCTATTATTCCGTGATTCTATGACGGAGCTTATTAGTATCCTACCACCAGATGCAATCATTGTAATGGATAATGCATCTATCCATAGAAGCCATCTTATCGATTCTTATAAAGGTAGGATTGAATACCTACCACCTTATTCACCTCAGTTAAATCCCATTGAAAATTTTTTTGGAGTTTTGAAAAATAAATTTAGAGCAATCAATCCCCGCCCTAATTCAAGAGATGAAATTGTTAGGAATATTATTCAACTCTTACACGGATTTATTCCTTATGATTTCACTAACTTTTACAATCATATGCAAAGCTATTTGGAGTTGGGTTATCGCGGGCAACTGATTAATTAGGTAATCTTTATAATCGATTTGTATTAATAATTATAATATTAACTCTTTTAATTTCTAAAAAGGTACCAACATCAAATTCGTGGAACAATGGAATATTTTGATAAATTATAATTATATTTTTTATGTATTAATTATTTTATCGAAATTATTATAAAAGTTTATAGTGTTATCATATTTTTATCGAAATAAATGGATATACAAAATAGATTACATTTAAGAAATTCTAAAATATTTTCAAATATTAAAAAGACTTTTTACAAAAAATGATTTAGAATTTTAAATGAAATTTAATCAAATATCTTACTTGAGCATTCTCAAAGAAAATAAAAAAAAAAATCATTTTTCATCACAAATTATATATATGTAACACATTTCTTTTTATAATGATTAATCAACTATTAATCTTCTTAATTAATTGCTTGTCCATATTTAATTTCAATCTTTATTCTATTAAAAATAAAATCTTATTTTGTTTACCCCCTTTTATAGTATATTTAAACATGTGTATCGTTTCACTGTAATAATCAAAATGTCAATCATTGATAATAAAAAAAATTGATTTCAAAAAGAAATATGTTACAAACTAGGACAGACACTTGTGAAAATAGTTATGGTTTAATCTTAAATATTATTTAAACTTTGCATTAGAATGCTATGTATAAACTAAGTAACTAAAAAAACACTATGTTTTTTAAGTCATCATTTTTCTAAAAAAAGGATATTGACCTTGAAAAGGCTACTGTCTATGTGACTAAAAAATCTATAGATATAAAATAATATGTAAAAGTTTGTGTTGACAGATACCTAAAAAGTAGGTGAGGTAGTCACACATTCCGTAAAGTTGAGCAAAAGACACTCTGTAGTCATCTAAAGAGATATTCAAATCTTTCATTCTGTATTTAAATATAATTTAGAAAAATAAATGTAATTCGAGTCAATAATTTAGGAAAGAAAAATTAAACTGACAATTTTTTAGATTATATATTAATTATTTTAAAAGTTCACTTTTTGAGAGCTGAATTGATCGATGTAATATTATGAGAGGCGATCATAAAATGTAATTTTGAATCGGTTTCTTTATCTTTAGCGAAATTTTTGAGATGATTTGACGTTCCTCCAATTTTGTCTAAGCAAAAATTAACGGCCTGGTCATAATTTTGATTCGTTAATTCGTAAGTTTGACAAATAGGACCTATATTATAAATATTTGAAACCTTCATAAAGATCACTTAAAAACATTTTTGTAATTGATAATCACTACTGTAAACATTTCTAAAAAAATCAAACGCATTCACGTTCAAGTTCATTTTCAAAAAAAAGAAGGAGTTCACGGTTATGTTTTTATGAATATTCAATTTTAAATACCATATATTTATTAAGACAATATAATAGCCATGTTTAAAATGAATAGTTTTAAGTGAATAAAAAATATTTTTATAACTTTTATATATCATATAAAATTTTTATTTATAAAATATATAAATTCATAATACTTTAAATAGTGTTCAACTATTAAAATATGAAAACCTTGATAAAAACTTAAAAATATTAACGAAATTTCAATCACACTAAAAATAAATAAATTCTATAAGATAAAAACTATTTTATATCTATGTATATGTCGTAATTTTTAAAGGGATCATGACTATCCGGGATCTTTATGGGATTTAAAGGGATAACTAAAAAATTAGGGTTGATAATTAAGGTATGATAATACGGGATTATCATGTTTTAATCGTGATAGGAATCTTATTTTAAAAGCGTTTTCCACGAGTTTCGTTGCGTTTTTAATTTTCAATTTTGTTTTTTTTGGCCTTATGATATAAGATATGTCTAGTATAGGGTATCATTCGATAGCTAATCAAAAGATTTATTTAACTGGAGGTCAATCTCTGCCCCAGTAATAATACCGTATAGTTCTTTATCCTTTAAAAAATTGAAATTTTAAAGGGATCCCTTTAAATCCCGTGAAGATCCCGGATAGTCATGATCCCTTTAAAAATTACGACATATATAATATTTTATGATTTTTACTTTATGTATCTATTATAATAATCTTCACAATTTAATAATGAAATACAGTCTAAAATAAATTATTAACAGGATACTTATAGTTATACTTATATTATATAAAATAATATTATAAATCAAGTATCTCTTTAAATTAGAACTTGAATATTTTGAAATTGATATTATACTTTTTGGACATATTTTACATATAATAAGGGTAGAATTGGTTTATTGAAGATATGTTACTGTAGGGTATTTATTACATCTGGGTCATGGTAATTGAAATATATTTCGAATGTTAAAATTATTCATACGACCTTTTCGTACTTTTTCTTTTTGTGAAATATATTTGTACCACCTTTAAAAAGTTATCGTATTTGTATATGTAAAACGTTGAAATAACTTGTCTTAAAATAACCTTAAACCAAATTGTAAATTGTATATATGTAAATATTATTAAAATAATAATACATATATAGTTGTAAAAAGATATAATGTTTTTAGAGAGAGAAAAAGATAAATAAAATAAAAAGATTTTAAATAGATTTTATCCATTGCCTTCCATGTAAATATCAGTAATGTTAATTTATCTGATTCTGAAATAACAACATCCATGCTTACGCTAATCTATAAATAATATTCTGGCTAGTAAAAAAATTCAAATGTGATAACAGTTAAATAAAAAAAATAACCCTTTTTTTCTTAATAAATTTGGATTAACAGTAAATTAATATTCTTTATTTTCAAATAATAAGAAGATTTTCTAAAATTGAATGAACGTTCAATCGTCAGCAATAAAAAGGAACGTCGTTCATTATTTTTTCCCAAAAAAAACGAACTTCGTTCAATTTGAAAGCTTTTAAACATTAATAATCACGGTATAACAATAGCAGAGACCGATATCCCAAAATGATAATCAAACTCATTCATAAATTAAAATATTTAAAATACCAATTTTTTTTTCTATTTCTCTTTACTTCTAATTTAATTTTATAATTCTCATAAATGATAAATAAATAAAAAATGATAATAAATATTGATGAATTATATCTTTGCTTATTTTCAATAAATATACTATACATTTTTTTGGAATCGGTATCAGCATATCTCTGATTTAGATTCTTGAGATACCAATTAAAATTCTAAAAAAATCTAGGCTGTGTTGTTAAATTATGAAAGCAGTTTTCGTTAGTTTTCACAGTATTAATTTAATAATGCATATGTTAGCGTCAGTGTTTTTTCCGACAATGGGTTATTTTTACAACTTTAAATCATTTTTTGAGCGCGTTTTTTTTAAAATTTAGAAATCAGATTTTACCGGAATAATATTCAATTATGTTTGGAATATATCTTATGAATTGTAGACAATATTGCCGTTAACCTTTTAGTAATTTATATGAAAAATCTATGGAGAAACTAATAAAAATTAAATAAGTTCAAATTCGTAGAAAAATTGTCTGAAATTCATAGGGTAGGTATTCCAAACGACGGTATACATTTCCGGTAAAATCAGGTTTTCTAATTTTAAAAAACGCGCTCAAAAAATGATTTAAATGATAAAAATAACAATTGTTGGAATAAACACATTGACGCTAACACATATATTCGTTAAACTCAGTTTATATAATGAATTTACCAATACTATTATAAAAAATGGAAAAATATACTATTAATTTTCTTCTTAAGGGCCAAATCCCTTTCCCATTCAATGTAGGCTCCACGAACAAGTTTGCAATTGAAATTCAAATCATTTTTTTGACAAAATTCAACGTCTCTTTTAAGGTAGTTGAAAATATCCTTAAAATATTTTAAATAAGAAATTCTTTGGAATATATTAAAAAAATTAATATATATGTTACAGGGTTGCTAGAAAATTTGGTATGTGTGGAGATGCGCCCTCCCCACATCTATCTTTATCCAACCTACGGCAGGTTTCTTTACCCTCTTATAACTTTACTATCATTCTCATTTTTTTTAAATAAAAGTAATTAAACTTTTTGTAATTATTATTATCTAATGGAGAAATTTCAAAGCTTAGATAATATTTTTGATCTTGATTCAGCTGTTTTTTTTAAATTAAATAAATCGAGGTTTTTGACAACACAATTTATATATTATCTAATAGAGACTCCTAATAATATATAAAATATGATTTTCATTAGATGAATGATCTATAAAATAATTCAATTCAACAAAAATAATAATCAATAATTTGTTAACATTTATATTTTTTATGAGATCTATATATTTTCGAGTAAATGTTTGCCAGAGGCGCTTATAAATTTTCTGACTATATTGTAATTCCGTTTCATCATCAATTTTGCTTCTATGTCATTGCGTTCCTTTATCTAAACAGTTCTCATAATGCTCTGATAAGGCATTAGGATGAGGTAGGAATGAATTATTTTGGCATATTTTTTCGAGGTATGGACATTTATCATATCAAAAAAGCAAAAAATAAATCACACTGATAATTCTATATACAAATAAACTTGATCCATATTTGAATGTGGATTAAAAATCATTAAATGATGATTTATTTTCAGTGTAAAAATATTTAAACACCTATATAAATAAGGCTTACGAGTTTACTTAGAAAGAAGTGAGGAAGGCAATCCTATCGCTCCACCATTACTTCTCTAATGGCTTAGATGGGATCCAACCCATATTCTCCAGAACACCACCATACCAAAATCACCGACTAGTTCACAGAATCTTATATGAGGATGTTCCTAGCTTTTCTCAATTAATCTTTTGAAGCCAGACTCATTTCCTTACAGAAACCCAATAAAGACATCAAATGGTCTGACACATTGCCTAATCGCCAAAATGATTATTCAGGATTAAACACGAGGTCTCTCGCCTCGTTTAAATTAGGAGTAGGAAGGCTGCAGTACACCTTACACAACTTCAACTGGAGAGTAATCCCACAAATGAAACACTCATCAAAATTGCTTTCGGAAGTGCGCAAAACCTCCTGCCAATCAGCTAGCAGCCAAATTCATCTACTCCTGTCACCAATCTCCTTATATTTGCGATTTAACTCTCATAAAAACCTCTAAATTTGCATATTTTGGGTATATTTTTTATATGAATTTTGTTTTATAATAAGATTGAAAAATAAAAGCAAAGGGACAAGTAAATATATATAATGTAAAAGCGCCAAAATTTGAATATAGCTAACGAAAATAACATTTACTCATAGTTAAATCAATATTTTTGCAATATAAAATAAATTGAATGAACAAACTATAAAATAGCACTGGTAGGTGAGCCCTATGGTGGGAAAAGAGTTATTGTAAGAGTTCATGAGCAACTTAGTGAAATATTGAATAGTCGGATTAATGGTTGAATACTCGCTGTCTATCAATATTTTTATACTGTGATACCTAGAAAACTATAAATAAAATAACAATTAAATCCAAATAGTTAGTCTAAAGTTAGCAAAAATATTTCATAATATTAATATTGAAGTAGCCAATATTACTTTAACCTACTCAAATAAAAATTATATATTTGGTAAATGATATTGAAAATCGTTAATTAATTTATTGTATCAAAATCGAAGATAAAATAAAAATGAGTAATAATACTTGGCACATATTTTCCAAAGTCTTCAATCCTTTGATAATCACCGTTTTATATTCTTCGCTTAATGCAGAATTAAATATCTATGTAGCGTGTAATAAAATTATACAATAATTTGGATTGTTTCACAGTAATGTTAACCAATAATTTTAAAAAAAGTTTTTAATCAGAGGTTTAATTTATCTTTTACATGAATGTTTGAATTTCAAACATCAACTGATTTAAAATAATCTTTTTATTTTATTATTTATAATTTAAAAAAGAATATAGCCTATCTGGTTACACCTGTCTCTTTCTGAAAATAATTAATGCATAAATTTTAATTATTTTTCTATATTTATAACTTTATAAAGATTGTAAATTCTACCACTTTTTTCGTACATAAATAACCTTAAAAAAATTAATTATTTTAACAACTGAAAACATAGACTAAATTTCTAAAAGATATTAGCTTCAAAAGTTTCTCTTAACTTTATTAATTATAACATGGACGTGATAAGTGGAAAATTATTCCCGAAAATAAATTGCTGAAAATAATTCCCACATAAAAAATTTCTCCTGAAATAAATTCCCCATTTTTTTTATTTTAAAAAATACAAAGTGAAAAATAATTCTCTGGGAAAAAAAATTGCCTTAATAATTTTTTTTAAATATAAAAAATAACCCCACCCCGCAGCTAGAGGTCTGCAATGGGCGGGCAGGCAGAACGGACGGGAGGATTAATAATTTTCGACTTTTTATTAAAAATCATTTAAGTAAACATTAAAAAAATGTTCTACGAACATTTTGGTATATTAATATTAAAATGTTTCTGACGCCTATAGATTATTAAACAATATTTAAAAAATTTATAGGCATTAAATATTAAATATTTAGCTATAAATTATTCTTTTTAAGATTATTTCCATTATTTTATAATATATTTTTTTAATATTCAGCTTATTTTTATTGAATAAATTATAAGTTTAGTGTAAAAAAATATTTTTTTTAATAATTGCTCGTTTTAAATGGGAATTTGTCTGAAAGAATGTTCAAAATAGGGGTATTGATATTATTGTTTTTTTTCTATGATGTTCAAATTGAATAAAAGCAAAAAATATTGTTTATGTATTTTATGCTCTCAATTATATGGGTTTCTGTTCAAAACGGCAAAACCTATAAATGCTCGTTTTAAATAAGAATTTGTTAAAAAGAATGGCAAAAATAGAGGTATTATATTTTTTTCCCTATGAAGATCAAATTGAATGAGAACAAAATATAAATGATATTGTTTGCGTATTTTGTGCTCTTATAATATGAGCCTCTGTTCGAAAACAACGACAAAACCTTTATCATGGTCTATCTTTTTTATTCAGCATAAAGATTTTGCAATTTTAGGCACTTTTTAAGATAATTGATAAAGCGTTAAGAAATATAAAGTAAGCATGAAATGTGTATCATCATGCAAGCCTAAAAAATAAAATTAAGGAAACCTTTCATCCCACAGCCAATTTTACGTTCAACATTGCTGTAATAATTGATACTATAATTATTAAATTATTTTTATTATTCTATCCTTTTTATAGATGCCACTTTCAACATCTTCGAGATTCACCATTCAAAACTCAAATACTTCTGAAATTTCCAATAATAAAGGAAATATTCTGAAAAAATTGGATTATTTACTCCCAAATGGGAGCATATACCACTCAAAGATATATGAAGGAAAATGTTCTACTCACCCCCCTCTCGTTCATATAAAACTGGCAGTAGGACTATAAATACTCTTCACAAGCGGTGTTTGCATCCAAAGCTCTTTGAAAATTTGGATTATTTAAGTTAATTAATAGCACAATCGTTGAAACGCCGTGCCAAAAATTCTATAGCCCTTTAAAAAACCCCTAAACTTATTTGATAACTTTTCGCATTCTGACAAAAACTAAAGCTTACAATATGGTAAAATTTATTGAATTTAATTATACAAAGGCATGTTATAAAAATTAAAATAGTGCATGTGACGTGTATATAATCATAAACCAATTATATAATCATTAAAAACTAAAATATAGTAATTTAAATATTTATCTTTCTCGCCTTTTTATTACAATCTAACAAAGATGCAATGTAATTTTCGATTGAAATTATAATTATGTTTCTAAGGGGTTCTTGTGCCGATCTTAATTAAGTCTTGAGCTTTATGAAGCTGCATTCAACCCATGCGACGGTAATTGGAATAGTTAGAATCCTCAAAACGATCGATATATTTGGCAGTATTTAATATCGTAAAACTTATGGTTTGTTTGCATAATATATTCATAGCGCATTAATATACTTTCCAATGAATATTGATCTGTTAATAAAATAATTGATTACAATTTTCTTTTAGCTTCGTTTCAGGCGCATTTAACAATGCAGGCATATCAAATAAAAACTTAAAATGATCCTTGAAAAATAGTTTGATCGCAAAATACTTCAAAAAATTTAATCCGATATTTTTTTGAGAATCATATGTAAACGCATAAAAAAAAATTGCCTTTAAACTTTTCATCTTCTAATATATGTTATTGAAGGAAAGCCATTTTTAATTCATCGGCAACTCTTTCGCGTAATCGATAGAATTCTAAAAGCCGTTTTAAAACGATCTAAAAAATCTTGTGTTTGCCCAAAGTTTTTATGCTCGGGATTTAGCTTAGGTTTAGTGCTCAAAGTTTACTCCGGGTTTGTGATCAGAGCAGATCTTAGCACAAAATTAAGTCGTGATTTTTATGGCCAAGCAAATTAACAACAACGATATTAATAAAGCATTCAAGATTAACAATTGCAAATACATCTAAATTTATTAATAAATTTTTTTTTAAAATGCTAATTCACATTTCCAACCTCCATTTTTGACAAATTTATTTCCATGACTAGAGAAGAAATTAGCATTCTAAGGTCTCCAATGAGAGATTCTGCCTGCGTACAAAATTTTCTAGAAAAAAGCTTTCACAATCTAATCTTAAAGGATTTTTTTATAAAGTTACCCTCACTAATTTTAAAATGTAATATTCCATTTTATTTTCGATCATCTGGGGTCTTTATATACTCCCCAAATTCCCTAAATTATGAAACTAAAATTATGCCTATAATCGAGAACACAATTAATCCAATTTGCCAGAACACATGGCTATAAATTTCTCTTCCAACATTAAATCACGAGTACTAGGTCTATGATCCCCAATGCCCCTATTGTATCATTCATAACTAACCGAGAATTCATCTTCAAATAAATCATGCCCACCAAAGATTCATTATTTAATCTCGTGTTATTCAGCTCGACCAAGAATATTACAGAAGGCTTAGATTGTTTAACTAACTTACAAAAGGATTGACACACATCGTAGTATTAGATAAAACTGGAAATGAATAGTTGTATTCGATTAACTACCCGACTAGGTGCCATTATAAACGAAACTTATTATTGTCAAAGGTGTGATTTACTCATTGACTATGTCTCACAGTTATAAAAAATACTAATGGAAAGGCTTAATGAACGACTATGGATGAATCCAATATGAAAATAATGATAGGTGATATGGCATTAAGCAACTTGTTTATGTTAGAAACCCAGAATAAAAATTAATTTTGGTCAATCACTATACTCTACATCTTATAAATTTAAAAGAATAAAAAAAAAATTTTTTTAATATATATTAGAAGTAACTGGAGAATTTTGTAAAGCTTGAACGTTTGAACACCAATCAGTGCTTAGACGGGGTAAAACATTTTCGCAAAATTCTTCCTGTTTTAAATAAATAAAATATTTTAAAAAAAAATACAAACTGATAATATTAGTAAATAATTACTGAAACATTGCACCCAAAGTTGAAAATGACTACATAATATTACTAAAATGACAATTTTAAATATTACCTGTTTAAATGATCATTAAAGAAATATTTTTCTAGATGTAAATTTTAACTTAAAAACGAAACGAACATAATAAAATATATAGTAAATATTGAAAAGTAAATATTGAAAAGTAAATATAAACATATAACCATAAGCTTGGTAGGAATCAGAGAGGATATCTTGAAATTAATGGTAGTGTGGCAATTTGGGAAATTTTGTGCAAACAGATGTAAGGATTCCATTATGTAAGCCACATTTTTAGCAAATATTTCGTCGAAACCACCCTCTTTAACTATCCTGATTATTAGTCAATTTATAATGTACAAAAAAAATTTATTAGATATAATATTATGTTATTTTACTTCGCATCTAAATAAAAAACTTTGCCAAATTAAACAACCCCTAAACCTGGGAGTGTAAAATAAAATTTATGGCTAATTTAGATAAATCTTTAAAAATGTCAATTTAATTATAAATTTAGCTTCCTTAACTCTCTTATCTTAAACTGATATATTTTGGCAAACAAAATTAAACTTCTAATTTTAACTCTATGAAAATAATTTTATTGAAAGAAGAAACAACATATTTTACAATCAAATAAAATATATTAACAAATGATATATATAACCCATCATCTTCGTTATAAGGAAGCTCTTCGATTGGCACAGCTATGAAAGGCGACACTCCCTTAACTTTCAGGTGATTCAGTATCCTGACAACGTCCTCTATCGATTCCCCAGCCACGAATTGGTGAAAAATAGTAGATTTTATAATTTTGTTGCAAAAATGCTTACCCATCATCATTTCAGCCAGAGCTATAAGCTATATCCAATTTAAAATGATCAATTTTATTAAGGTAAATTATGTTAAATAATGTACTTATTTTATGTCATAATTATCTAATATGTTGTGCCAAAATAAGATTGGCAGATGTTCTAAATGTCCAGCAAAACAATTTAAAATGCTTAAACCCAGACTTGGAGGTGGGGGGGGGGAGGATATTTGTTTACCTGAAGTGTTTAATGAGTTCAATAAGCCCTAAAGCTTTTTGTTAATATTTAATAAAACTTGAGCTAACGCCATGGCGCTACGGTCACGCTTTTTTGACTGTTACGCCGCCGATTTAAAAATATCGGGTCGGCCACAGCCGATTTGATTTAAGAAAATTATATTAACTATTTTAAAAATTTAATCATTCTTTTCTCAATTAATAGTTTTGAAAAAAAAATTCGCAAGAGAGTTACCAGACATAAGTACTATTAGTATGAGTGCATTCGACGATATCAATACATGTATGAAAGCATATATTTGTGAATTAAAAATAAATCACTGCAGGACCGGTCCTAAGCCCAGCCCGGGTATCCGGGCTTGGTGGTATTTTTTTTTTAAAATACTCGAAGCGGGACAAGCCTAAAATATTTTTTTTAAATACCCGAGCCAGGCTGAATATTTTAAATCGCCATTATTATCTATAAAAATTATAAATAATGTGTATTTAAAAATTATATATTATAGAACAATATGTCACATTCTTTTACTTATATTTCGTATTTCCATTTTTTCGATAAAATATTATTCAAATTAAATATTTAACTAATCATTTTAGATGATATTCAATAATATTTAAAATATCATATACTTTTTAAGGGAAAAATTAATTTTAGATAAGTATCATTTTTTCTGTCCCAAATTCAGACAATTACGTATGTTTCCAAGTAGAGAGTGCAAAAACTGATACTTATATAAATGACTAAATTAAATTACAAGAGGAACAGAAAATAAGTGAATATTCATTGACCAGTCGAATAGAAAGTATGGTGATTCAAACTCACTCCTTTTACGATAAATGGGAATATTAGATAATTTGAAAAGTTATAATATATGGATATCATATTCGCTGAAAAACGATTCGTAAATACCGAATAGGTATATTTTTTAAAACCAAGGCCGTAGAAAAAATTTACTCAAGCTGAAATTTTTTTTAAAGAAATAGGGCTGAAATTCTTTTTTAAAGAAATAAAGCAGAAATTTTTTTAAAAAAAATCCAGACTGGGCCGTGCAAATGCTACTTCTGTAGGTCTCTGAGATAATAAGAATATATTTTTGACACTATAACAGATATGTTTGATATCAAATTTTATCAGTGTTATAAAGAATTTAAAAAACGAATTCGCTTACGTTCGTCGTTCATTATCAAAAAATCGAATATATTGCGTTCAATGCAAAAAAGAAACTTTTATTCGTGTTCAATTATATATCTAAAGATATATTTTTCGAAACACATATAATATATAAAACCCAAATTTGGAAATTTGTGATTAAAGTGATGGCAGCCCATCAATCAAATAGTATTGATAGTAGATCCAATAATAGCGACAGAACATACTTACAAATTATCGCTTTAGGAAATTCTATTAAAATAAGTGCAAAATGGAATATGATAAAAACATGTATTTTTTTAATATTAGATTATATAAAAAAATTTAAAATAAAGCGCCCCAATAATAATCATATCCGTATGGGCTGTTTGCTTATATATCGCCTTCAGGACATCATATTATTTATACTCAATTGATTTTTTTAAATTTATTATAACAAGGACATCACTAACCTTTACAATCTCAGGGGGCTCAAAAAATATTTTTTAAATATTTTCAATATTTTTTCTTTTTTAGCTAACATTATCTAAAATTACCTTTTTTTAGTGGTTAAAAAAAATAAAATTTATTTTTATTAAATATATTTTATTTGTCATATATATATATGAATTTTTGGGGGGAAGCTAATTTTGCGCATTCATTATTTTATTGTGTAATTTTTCTTACTTTAAATTTTGTGTCATCTTTATTAAAGTCAACTTAAGTGAGCCGGCTGAATATTAAAAAAGTGATACCAAAGTCCTCTTATGTGATGAGGAGCCTGAATATTAAAAAAGGGATACCAAAGTCCTCTTAAGTGAGGCTGAATATGAAAAAAGGATACATTAGTCGTATTAAGTGAGGAGTCTGAATAATAAAAAAGTGATATAAAAGTCCTCTTATATGAGGAGCCTAAATATTAAAAAAGCGATGCCAAAGACCTCTTAGGTGAGGAGTCTTAATATTAAAAAAGGGATACCAAATTCCTTTTAAGTGAGGCAGAATATAAAAAAAGGGATACCAAAGTCCTCTTAATTGAGGAGCCTGAATATAAAGGGATACCAAATTCCTTTTAAGTGAGGAGGCTGAATATTAAAAAAGGTATACCAAATTCCTTTTAAGTGAGGAGGCTGAATATTAAAAAAGGGATACCAAAGTCCTCTTAATTGAGGAGCCTGAATATTAAAAAAGGGATACCAAAGTCCTCTTAAGTGAGGAGGCTGAATATTAAAAAAAGTATACCAAAGTCCTTTTAACTAAGGCGCCTTAATATTAAAAAAGGGATACTAAAGTCCTCATGAGGTGGCTGAATATAAAACAAGGGATACCAAATTTCTCTTAAGTGAGGTGACTGAATATAAAAAGGGATTACCAAAGTTATCATATCTGTAAGCCACCTTGGCGTTAATATTTTTACAATAAACTCTGTCACAGGGAAGTTCTGCCAGATTTTTGTTACAATTTACAGTAAGCTATGCCGCACGGAAGTGCTGCCCGATTTTTGTTACATCTTACAGTAAGCCCTGTCGCACATAAGTGCTGCCGAAATTTTTTTTACAACATTATAATGATTTTTAAGAATAATGTCATCTATTTTATATTACAAATCTTATTTTTATTAATTCGAAAATATAAATCAAAGCAAATTATAATCTAAAAACAATGTAAATGTTAGTATAATTAGAGACCTGCAGAAGTAACATTTGCATGGCCCGGCCCCTATTTTTTTTAAAAAAAATCTTCGGCCCAACTCAGGTTTTATATTTAAAGGCTTGCCCGGATTTTTTAAATATATTACATTTATTTTTCATTTTTAGCTAAAAATAGCGATTTAAAATATTTGACTTGTTTTTTAAAAAAAATTTTATACCATAGCCGGGTAGCTTTAAAAAAATAGGAATGGACCTGCAGGTCTCTTATAATGTGCAACAAAAAAAAATATGTAAAAAGGATTTTAAAAAATTAGGTTGGCTTCCAATGAAACTGGTGTAATTAGATTTATGAATGGCGATGGAAAGTCTTTGTATAAGGTAAAAACCTTCTCTAAGATCATATGTAAACCGAGTTCTTTAAAAAGTTTAAAGAACGGCAACCAAATATGGCGAATATAGAGATTATAGGTATAAAAATGTGTTCATTGAATATTCCGGAATATTTATTTATTTTAGACAGCTTTTTGATATCTAAGATGTTTGTGTTAATATTTGTAGGAGCAGAGGATCTATACAGGAATTCCAAATTATAAATTGACCTCTTTTCCAAGGAATTTGGATTATGCCATCTGGGCATTTTCCATCAGATCTAAAAAGACTAATAGTTCTAGGATCGGTGGAACCTGGGCAGATTTATGGGATTGTTAAATAAAGTCATTGTAATGGTTGTGCCTAGGGATACATCCCTTGCATGAACGGTAGCACAGGCTGTGCCGTCCCTTCGAATCGAGGAACAATATAACCAGAGCAAAGGTGAGGTTGGGTAATTGAGAGTTGAAACAAATACCAATGGCATGTTTGATTAAACAGTTAAATATAAAGGTAATAACTAATAACATTTCTAGAGAATATCAACACCCATAAAAAATCCCTTCCGACAATTTAATTTTTATTTTTACAGGAAATAAGAAAACACTTTTTTTAATATTTTCCAATGTAAAATAAGGCTATAAAATCATATAATTTGTAACTCTATTTTAAGTATTTTTATAAAAATAAAATTTAATGAAATCAGGCATTGCGCTATTTTGGACTTTGAGGGCGTATATCTTTGGATTTGGTTTAGTTAGAGGTCTAAAATTTTGATTTTATTAAAAATTACAACATAAATAACTAACATGCTAAGTTTCATTCTTGGAATGACCCATATACAAGTTTTATCGAATATGATAACAGTTATGGAATATTGTATTACATTCTATTTTTACGCATTGTCTTTTGGGTAAAATACAAATTTAAATAGTGTTTAAATCAAAATATAGAGAAATGATTTGAATTACATATTATTCTAAATTTAACATAGGATTATAAATATTATTTGTATTGTCCTATCACGCTGATTTATCCGAAAAAATAATTGTATTGTAATATGAATTCCACAAAGTCAGAGCAAACAACGCACATATAATTTATAATTATACATTTCTAAAAACTTAATAAAAATAAAGCAATTTTAATAAATAGGAAATACAAACAAAACCATACCAAGGTAAACTACAAATGCTAAGGTAAACTACAAATGTAATGCTAAGGTAAACTGCAAATGCTTAGATATAAAAATTTTTTCAAATAACGATAATTTTATTTCAATTTGAAATTTACAATAAGTTAAATTTTTTAATAAAACTTTAAAAAAATTACGACAAATTAATTGGGCAGTATTTTAATAAGAAATGGGCAGCAAAATTAATCAAAATAGCAGTAATTTAATTAAATGGGCAATAGAAAAAACATTTCGTAGTCATTTTAAATATTAAACATCAAGTTTCCCTTTTTATATTAAAAATTTTTTAGAAAATCTTGTAAGTTATATTAATATTCATTTTTATAGATATATAATAAAAAATAGTTTTAGATATTATGGATTTAGAGATCATAGATGAAGAAATCGAAATTCCATTTCCATCATACAAAAAATATTTTAAACTTCTAAAAGATGTTGATCCAAATGATCAAACAAATTTAAGGGCAAAATGTTTTTTGTGTTTAAATAAAACTATTTAATTTTCAAAAGTGAGCAGCTTCAATCTAAAAAAGCATCTAAAAGTAAAAAATCTTTCTTTTAAATACAAATTGATTTGGAAGATTTTTTTAGATCCCATGAAATAGATAATCAGGAGATAATATATTGGACAAATATTTTTTAAAATATTATACCAAATTACTATTTTTGACAAATTCCCTAAATTAAAAAATATCTTTATAAAATACAATACCACGCTTCTCCCTAGTACTCCTGTGGAGTGCCTATTTAGTATTGCAAAACAGGTCTTAGGGGAGAGGCGTGGATGTTTGTTAGATTCTAATTTAAAAAAATAATTACTTTTAAAAGCTAATAAAAGGTTAGAAATATTTTGATAAATCATTTAATATAAATAAAGCTTTTTGATAAAAAAAATATGATTGTTTCGTATACTATGGAGTGGCCTTACATTACTTGGAGCGGGAGCTAGCTTCTTTTAAAAATATAGTAGCGGGAACGGGAGCTAGCTCCTTTTGAGAAGGTAGGAGCGGGAGCTGGAGCTAGCTACTTTTAAAAAGGAGCGTTAACAACTCTGAATATTTAGATATTAGCATTAAATTATTTTCTATTTTTTAGATTTGCCCAGTTACACAATGTGTAATAAAAACTGCAATTCTATAACATATCTCATTCTTTATATTTTTACTAATTCAATAATTTTTTATATTTAACATTTCATATAATAAACTTGATAGACTATAATAAAAATATATTTGTATAAATACTAAAAAAAATTTCAAATTATACCGAATAATTTTAGTTACAATTCAACTTTATTTTTTTTTACTGCTCAATATTTTAAAATGAATATGTTCATTAATTAATTTTTTTATAATAAAAATACTGCCCATTTTGATAAATTTTCTGCCCAAAAATTCATAAATACAGCCCAAAAGATTAATTTTTTGATAATAAAAATCTGCCCAAAAACGCCTTAAAAATGTATAAAAATATTATATACCATCTATTAAAATATAATAAATTTATAAAAAAAACAATTTAAGTTAAGTCGGCGGGGCTTACTGATCTGTGTATAGATAGATATATACTTGAATCGGCAAATTTCGATCGATATTCTTTTCGCAAGTAGAAACCCTCTTTTGGATCACCTGTGATCAAACCAAACCTTTATCTTATTGATTTGAATAATTTTAGGTGAAGTCCAAATGAACCACACGAATCTGAAGCTACTGGAAAGAACAAAAGATTATTTAGATGGCTATATTTAATGGTTTTTTTCTTCTTTCCTGATGGAGTTGACAGAAAAAAATCGGGCAAAACAATCTACACTAATATAATCCTAACGAGGGGTATACTTCGGTTCCAGGGGATTGAATTGATGGCATAGTGCTTAGGGTAGAGGGCAGTAACCTAGGGTATAGAAATGGGTGTCATCATGGGCGCATGATGACAGTGTCACAATTTCACAGTAAAATCGAAGACCGATAACACTTCTTTAGTTCTTCGTTGGTAAGAGGCTAAATTAGAACTAGGTATTGTTTCGAATCATTCATAACCTAGGTGCCATGTGGCTGAGGCTGGAATTATTTGATCTGGTAAAAGAGTCATATTGTTGTCATTTGTGTACTCTGGGTTGGGTTTAGGTAAGAGCGACGAAGATTTTTTTAAACAGCTTTCGAGTGGTATTAAGTGGAATGCTGTATATGAGCTGCTTTGAGCGTTTCTACTACAAATATCTAGAACTTTTTATGATGTGAATCAATAGTATTTAAGTTTCCAAGTGTGAAATGAAGCCATTGAAATGTACTGGGGAAATGGAGACCTAACCACCAGACTTTGATGACGAATAAATTTTTTTATTTCCTAAAAAGCCTGACCAGAAATAAAATTTATTAGTTCACCTGGCCCGAATTTATTTAAATATAGAAAAATAGAATATCTACAAATAAAAAATATTGGCGCTGGGTATCATTAAAAATAATCAACAAAATTAATATCCTATTTAAAATTTAAGTCAAACTGGCCCGATTTTTTTATATCATTAGGCGCCCATCCCTAAATTATTTTTTAAAAATAGACCCAGACCAATAAGGATTTGTAAATCTATAATATTTCATTCATATTTTATGGTGCAATTGTAAAATCTTCATTAAGCAAATGTTCTGATATAGAAAAAATTAAAGCATGTAAAAAGTTGCCCAGAATATTTTAAAGCCATTGTCCAAATTGAAAAAGATATGATAATATATATATCTTAAGGCTATGACATTGAAAGCAAGTTCATACATTTTGAAAGTTGTAGATAGCTTTAATCTTATAAATGTAAATATCAATATGTTTGCAAAATTTGTTATACTCTCTAAATTCTTCCTGATATTTTATCAGATTTATCTCATCAAAAAATTATTTAAATTTTTAAACTCCAATCAAGCAAAAACTTAGAAAGAATATATAAACATATTTTCAATTCCCCATTCAAATGTGGTATAAGAGAGGAATTTTTAGTTTAATGAATAAATCTTGGCAAAAAAATTGTTCTTCACTAACATGATTTATTAAAGGCCACATTGATAGTAGGTAGAATTTTAGCATGAATTGCAAAATTTATTTCCAAGGATAAGAAACTTAAATAAAATAGATTCTTCTGCTAAATGTAGAAATTTGTATTTAATTTTTTTATATTTTGATCATAAATATGCTTATATTCAAATAAAGGTTGATAAATTAGTAATTTGACAAAAAAATCACCAATACTTATACAAAATGTGATTGTGTTTGCCCCACTTAATCCAGCTTTTTAATTATTTAACGATTGAAAATCATACAAAACATTTAAAATGTTGACTAAATTATTAAAATATAGCTAATAGGTAGGTATAAAATTTACATAAAATTGAAATTGTTACAAATTAATTTCATATTATTAATTTAAAAATCAAATTTAAATGAGTGAGAGTAAAAAAATGGTATTTTTAAGCCTAGAGTTAATATGAATGCAAAAGTTACACTTTCTTAATCATTCCTGCCTTTATTTATGAAATATAAAATAAAAATGATGCAATATTATCTTTATATGAAAATAAACAATAAATCTGACAAATCCCCTCAAATCATTTTAAAAAATTTTAATTGGGCAATGGGCCAAAAATAAATCCTCATTTTCTTTTAAATATTGAAATAAAAATAATAAAACAAAACTGGCAGGATTATTGATCAGCAAAAAATTTCTGGGTTTGGTATAAGTCAAAAAAGTTATACTTAATCCCAGGTCTGTTATTATCAATGATCATAAGCTTACATATAAATATTTTATTACATCCACCAAAAAATTTGAAAAATGGTAATCAAGTTATGCTTTTGTTTATATTAACAGCAATGTGCTGCAGTTTCTGTGATGCATAATTCATCATTAATAAAGCGTATAGCTTATAATTTACATTATAAAGAACATTTTTGCCCTCTGATTGTGATACAACATAGCTATGCAAAATTTTCCTCAAATCTTAAAACTGGATATTTAATTAAGGTGTAGAAAAAATGGATCCCTTCACATGTGTGTGGGCAAACTGCACATACTTGTACACACAATATTCCTAGGACTGTTGCTTAATAGTCTGTGGCCTGATTAAAACTGAATGGGCAAAATAAACACAACCCACACCTATAGCTTATAATTTAACATTATCTATTTTGTAAATTATGCAATGTTTTAGTGCAATGATATTTTTAATAAGTCCTTTGAAATGGTGTCACTTGGGTGGGGGTGGGGGCTCAAGTTTTATAAAAATTTTGAGGAACCTTCTCAAAAAAATTAAAATACAAATTGAAGTTAAAAATAAAAATATATTGATTTTTAAGGAATATTAGATTTTGAGCATCCAGGCAAATTGAAAAATTTATTAATGCCCACAGGTTTTAAGATAGTTGTATCTCTAAGCAGAGCCCAGAACATAGGTCCAGTCCAGAATCCTGTCATTCATCTTCACTAATCATATCTAATCTTTCAATTTTATTTAGATACATCAACACATTAAGAAGGGATTTCATTTGAGATATGCTTATTTATATGTTAATAAACTCTTTTTTGACACCTTTGAAATAATCTTTATGATATAGTTTTTATTTCTCTATTCATATCTAGTTCTAGATATGGATTTGCAAGAAATAAAAAGCCCAAAAAATAATATATTGAATAAAATATTGACTATCATTTAAATTGGAAAGTTAATTATTTAAGATAATTTCCCTATTATAAAGGTTCATGGTAAACTTTAAACTGTATGTAAACGATATACAAAATATTACCTTATCAGCATTTTTGACAAGGAATGGTATTGAACAAAGTTCCATAACAAATAAAGTTTTAAGCAATTCAAAAGTGGATACATCTTTGTACATTTCCAAAGGGGGATTGTCATCAAACTTTATATAGGGCAATATAGAAGAAGACAGCTTATGTTCATTGAGTGAAGATGCACCAGAGAGAGATGATAAATTTCGATATGTATAAGTGTTGTAAAAGGTTCTACACATTATTTTTTTGTTAACCAGATAAATATTTCCAATTGGCCTATTTAAGGTGGTAAAATTTAATTTAAAACAATTTTTTGGTTTGGTTATTGAAGGAATTTTGTGAGAAATTAAGGGCCCGAGAAAAAAGTAAAATTTAGATATTCGATTCATAGACTCTAAAATAAATGCCTACTTTTAATAATTTATTACAACTGCTTAATTTTATAGGATATAAATAATGATTTGGGTCCGCTGTCTCGAATATTAAAAAGTATCAAAAATACAAATAAGCTAAAATGGCGACCAATATGGCCCCTAAAGGTTGAAGCGAGAGATTTTAAATTATAAATATAAAATTAAAATATGGCCGCCAAAAAATTTCAATCGGTTACTACATATGAGAGAGATTTTATAATTTAAATTAATATTAAATTAGTAACGAATTATTAGAAATTTGTAATTTAATAAAGTAAATAATACAATTTAAATATTTATTAATTAATTGATATATAAAAAAATTAAATATAGGATTGTTTGTAGTATTTAATATAATGTAATCAATATAATTAAATTTAATATAATAGTTAATATTATTAACATAGTTAGTATATATATATTGAATATAATTATTTATTTACATCATATATAAAATTTAAATATTTATAATATATTTAAATATTTAATATATGTATTTAATATTAAATTAATTGATATATAAAATAATTAAATATATGATTGTTTGTAGTATTTAATATAACATAATCAATATATTTAAATTTAATATAATAGTTAATATTATTAACATAGTTAGTATAATATATTTTATATATTAATTTACTTATATATTGAATATAATTGAATATATATTTAATATAATATATTTACATCATATATAAAATTTAATTATAATTATTTATAATATATTTCGATATATAAATATATATTGGTTTATATAATATATTGCTTTATGATTAATTGGTATATGTTAATTACTTAACTTACTAAGAAATCTCTAAATAAATTTTTTATCGTTGGATTTTTACTTATTTATATAATCATTAGATTTCCTCACATCTTTTAATTTTTTTGAGATTCTATTAGTATATATAAGTTACCTAACTTAGTAGGAAATCCCTGAATAAATTTTTTATCGTTGGATTTATACTTATTTATATAATCATCAGATTTCCTCACATCTTTTAATTTTTTTGAGATTCTATTAGTATATATAAGTTACCTAACTTAGTAGGAAATCCCTGAAAAAATTTTTTATCGTTGGATTTATACTTATTTATATAATCAACAGATTTCCTCACATCTTTTAATTTTTTTGAGATTCTATTAGTATATGTTACCTAACTTAGTAGGAAATACCTGAATAAATTTTTTATCGTTGGATTAATACTTATTGCAATGTTATACATTTATTAGCAATAAAGGATATTAATTTATTTTATTAAATAATATTGGATTCACAAATAAATATATAATCTTATAATACATTATTTATAAGGGTATCATTTAGTATAAATATACGAATAACGTTAAATACAGAAAAAAATAATTGGATAAAAAATGCGCATAAATGCAATACAAAACGTTAATAAATAAATAAAAAATCACAAAAATTGTGGATAAATACAATATAAAATTAGGCTATAAATGTAAGAACGACCATAATATTGTAATTGGCGTATACCACTTCTGTATGACCCGACTAGAATATAAATACTTAGACTAATAGCTGTTATTTTATTGACAACATGAAAATTATTGAACAATTAATATAATTACATGACGGAGGAAAAATCGTGAAAAAAGAATATATGGCAAAAGTAGACATTGTAGTTTTAAAAAAACTTAAATGTGATTTTGTGTGCTCTTGGGTTAATATAATATCACCATTTGAAAGGGGAAGGGGGTGTCGTGTTAATTGAATAACACGTCCCATAATGGATTTAACTGATAAAAAGGTAGGTAACGTTTTGGGGTTTTGCATACAGAAAGGATCGAGTTTTCTGTCTCTCATAACCTTTCTGTATGTCTTTCTAATACTGATATTTTGATTTAACATAAGTTCTGTTTTAAGCATATTGATCGTGATGAGCGTATTATTTATATCTTCATCTATGATCAATATGCTTGTGTCATTATAAAATGAGTATTTAAAATCCTCCTCCCTTTACAATGTTTTGTATGGCATTTATAATATATTAATTTATCATTAATGTACAAATACTTATTAGAATATAAAAAGTCATTATTATATTTTGATTTTATTAATTTATAAATTGATTTTTTTAAAAAAAATAAATCTTGAAAATTGAATTGTGATTGATCTATTTAAAAAGAAAATAAATTTTGAATATCATTGCAATTAAATTGATATAATGATTATTATTAATATAGAATTTTACATGGAATTGATGCATAATTATTTTTACTGACAACAGCTTCTTGGGTGTGAATAGGAATATCATCTTGAATAACTTTATAATTGATATAGTAAATGTATTAATCATATTATATTTACATGGAATTAATGCATAATTGTTTTAACTGACAACAGCTTCTTGGGTGAGAATAGGAATATCATCTTGAATAGCTTTATAATTCTTTAGCATCATACAGAAAAATAATTTTTTTGAAGGCAGATTGCATCTATAATATATTAATATAAAATTTATCTATAATTAATATACTCGTGCATTCTTTGGATATAGTAAAATTGTTCTTAACAATCCAGGGTCCAAGGCATGGTTTATTTGTGTATGTAAAGTAAGCAGTATGCTTTTTAAAGTGATTAGGCATAGCCATCTGAAACAGGTATTAGTGGATTATATTTTGTTAAAAAAAATAGTAATAATTTTCCTTAACTAAGATTATATCTTAATTTCAAATAATAGAGCCAAAGTATAATATTATTACAAAATACTTTTAAAGTAATAATACTTTATTGAATGTATGATATATCTTAATTTTATTTAAGATAATATTTAAAATATTAGTATTGGAGAATATGTACAATATTTCCTATAGACTGAATGAAGTATTGAAAGGTCTATATTTATGGGCAAGTTGATCTACTAAAATTTAATATTATAATAGAAAACAAAATATCATAATAATACATATCAGATTTGGTCTGGGTAGGATGTGACCCTTTTGATTGATATTACTATATGCACCTTTATATACTATATAAATATAATTATGTAATTATAATAGCATAAAATATCTCCATGTCATATTTAATTAATAGTTTAAAAAAAATTGGTTACCTTTATACTTCCTATTTATATAAACTCAAAGTATTATGCTGGGTTGATTATTGAAAAATGGTATTTAGCTTGTAAATTCAATTTCACCTTTTTTCACCTTTTCGTAAAGCGACAAAACGTATAAAGTTAATAATAATTCGAGACTACGGGAAGAATATATTTAAAAGAGGCTTGGCTCAAAACGTCATAAATTGATTTATGTGCCTATGATCGAGACACATCGTAAAAATTTTGTACAATTCTGTAATTGGTCCGTGGTGAAATTAATTGTTTAGAATATTTTATTTTATATAAACATAATTAAGGAAATTCATACGATGTCAAACAATATAGAAATCATTCTTGAGAAAAGAATTAATCAGAATGTAATTAAGTACTATTGTTAATAGATTCAAATTTGTTTTGTATTTTTTTATTCTTATTTTTGGTTTAACTAATTTTTATTTTTATATAACCTTCGTGTTATTTTTTATTTAACTTAGCCATTCAAATTTTATTATCTATATTTTATTATATACATATATATATTTTTTTAGATATAAGAAGATAGAGATTATTACTTTTGTTAGTTATAAACCTTAAATTAACATGGCGCCCCCGTTAAAACTCATTTTCTTCCATATCTTATTATGGTAAGAAAAATATAAAAAATAAATATAAATAGTATAAAATTATCTTAATGTATATAAAAGGTATATAATATTACTATATGAAGATTTTTTAAATAAAAAAAGATTTAATACAATATGTACATCTTTAAAATTTTAAATTTTATACCCAACATTTCAATTTGTAAATTTTTATATTGGATAGTGGGTACCCACGATATTGATTCTTATAATGTCCCTAATTCAGCAGACTTATTCCTTCAATTTACTAACTTAAGGGAAATGTTACATTACTATGAATTAGTAGATGGAAAATTTCATATTTATGATGATAATGAATTCTTACAAATATGTTGTATATTCCTGAAAATTTAAAGTAAATTTATATATAAAATAAATGGAGAATAAGAAAATTAATAAATTAACTTTATCATTATAAATGATAACTTCTTTATAAAATTTCCCAAGAAGAATATAGTAAGTGACTTATATATTGAAAGAATCACATTTTTTATAAATAATGCAACATTATCCGATGCTGACAAGGTTGTTTTACTTCTTAATTACATACCGGATGATCTATATTCTAAATTTAAAACTTTATACTCTGATTCAGAATTTAGGGATATGATAGTTTAATATTAAAAAAAATACGGTATTTAGTATCATTAACAAATAGCAGTAGCGTCGCTAGGGGGGGCAGGGGCTCGAGCCCCCTGAAAAATTTGAATAGCCCCCTGAAGCAAATAAAAAAAATTTTTATGGAATATTAACCCCTTGAACTAAAAATAATTTTTGCTCCCTGAAAGATTTCTTTTATAATTCTGTAAGTAAAATATAGATTTAATTTTATCATTTAAAAATTAATAAGACTATCTAAATATTTATTAAATGAATACTATTTTAAATATTAGATTAAATTAGAACATATAAATTATATTTTCACTATGTCCGCTAGCAATCAAATTTTGTGTTAAAAATAGAATATATATATCACTCACTAAATATTAATTTAGCATTAACAGTTGAAGCTTAATTGACTATTTATTTAAATTATTTTATAACCTAATTAAATAAATATAATCATATTTAATTGTAAATTTACAAATTTAACATTGTAATTAGCAGAGTTCAAAATGACTAATCAACTCTATATTTATTATTAAATTTATTATCATACCTATTCCTAAAAATATTTTTAAGGTCCAAATAAAAATAATAAAAATAATAAAAAGTAAGTAAGAAGACATATAGTAATCCTCTATTATATACAGTTGTTTATAAATTATTAGATAAAATGCCACTTTTATAGACGTATTTGACAAATATAATAAATTACAGCTATTATTATAATGAATTTTACTAATAAATGCTTT